CTCCGATTGTTGGGCGATGTCCAATTTGCTCTAGGAGTTCACGGTGACGTAACCCTTAACCTAAGTGGAATTTTCCTCCAAGGGATTTTCCATGTTATTTTACCAGGAAACATAGATAAGGCAGCCTAGAAAAGTCAGTGCCCTCCTAACCATACCCAAGCACTATAAGTTAGTTGGTGATGTCCAATTTGCTCTAGGAGTTCATGGTGATGTAACCCTAACCCTAAGTTGAATTTTCCTCCAATGGGATTTTCCCGTGTATTTTACCAGGAAACATAGATAAGACAGCCTAGAAAAGTCAGTGCCCTCCTAACCATACCCAAGCACTCCGAGTTAGTTGGCGATGTCCATTTTGCTCTAGGAGTTCACGGTGACGTAACCCTAACCCTAAGTGGAATTTTCCTCCAATGGGATTTTCCCATGTATTTTACCAGGAAACATAGAAGGGCAGCCTAGAAAAGTCAGTGCCCTCCTAACCATACCCAAGCACTCCGAGTTTGTTGGCGATGTCCATTTTGCTCTAGGAGTTCACGGTGACGTAACCCTAACCCTAAGTGGAATTTTCCTCCAATGGGATTTTCCCATGTATTTTACCAGGAAAATACATAGGGCAGCCTAGAAAGTCAGTGCTCTCCTAACCATACCCAAGCACTCCGAGTTTGTTGGCGATGTCCATTTTGCTCTAGGAGTTCATGGTGACGTAACCCTAACCCTAAGTGGAATTTTCCTCCAATGGGATTTTCCCATGTATTTTACCACCAGGAAACATAGATAGGGCAGCCTAGAAAAGTCAGTGCCCTCCTAACCATACTCAAGCACTCCGAGTTTGTTGGCGATGTCTATTTTCCTCTAGGAGTTCATGGAGACGTAACCCTAACCCTAAGTGGAATTTTCCTCCAATGAGATTTTCCCATGCATTTTACCAGGAAACATAGATAGGGCAGCCTAGAAAAGTCAGTGCCCTCCTAACCATACCCAAGCACTCCTAGTTTGTTGGCGATGTCCATTTTGCTCTAGGAGTTCATGGTGACGTAACCCTAACTGGAATTTTCCTGCAATGGGATTTTCCCATGTATTTTACCAGGAAACATAGATAGGGCAGCCTAGAAAAGTCAGTGCCCTCCTAACCATACCCAAGCACTCTGAGTTTGTTGGCAATTTTTGTTTCTTCTGCCATCAAAGTGCTTCATAAAACGCTAACGCTGTAATCTACAAACCACATTAACGCAATTGAAATCGCTGTTAAAATTACACAAGAGGATTGCTCAGAAATCAAAAGTTCAGCCAAAGAGATGCGTTCTTACCTTGTCCCTAAATGCCCGGAAAGCGGGGCCCGTGAGCATCACCCAAAGATTCTGTCGCACGGCCTGCCAGGTGTGCCAGAAAAGGCCCTTTCCGGTAGACTGCCAAGCTCTGCTAGTGGGAAGGCCCTTGGAGAGGTCCCTCCCGCTATTCCCCACCAAAACTGCAATATTGAGAGGAGCCGTGGCGATCGCAACCTCCCACCCTGTTTCCCCGCTTCTTCTTGGGGTTTTTACTGGGCTCCCAACCTTACTCCATTTCCATCCCTGTCTCTTTAAAAGGAAAAGCCTTAACCTCACTGAAAGTGGCAAAAAAAGGGGGGGGGGGAATCCTCAAGGACAACTTACCTGTTTTCCCCCAGTTCCTTCTTAATAGCCACAGCAAGGGGTGGGGGGGTCACCCATCCGGCGGAGGCTCTAGGCTGGAAATCCAGGGAGCGTAACCTCCTTTCTCCACTGCCTTTTCCAAAAAGACTGAAGGTTTCATCCGGCAGGCGTCCCCACCCTTCCTCCTGGCCGCTACATCAGTCGATGCAGCCGTGACTGGGGGAAGTTAGCAAAATTGCAGAGCACCTATCCTTCCAGAAAGCACAAAATGGCAAATCAAATCAAAATCCAATCTGTATTCCAGCCAAAGACCCCACTCCATTAGTTGTGGCAATTCTTTTGGTTTTCCTTTGGTCTACTGAGCAGTTTTCAGGATAGCAGTAGTTATAATTGCTTCTCTCCGATACGTAGTAGGCCTGTCTTTCATTTCAGAAGCATACATCTGCTTCTTTTAATTAAGGTGAATTACACCTTACTGGGCCAGATTTGTAATTTCTGGAGAAATTACGCGGACATTGAAGATGCTTGGAACAGCCTCTTCCACATCATTGAATGGTACGGAGACAATCAGGATATCCTGCAGCCAGCCTCAGGGCCTGGAAGGTGGAATGACCCCGACATGGTGAGACCCTCTTCCTTACCTCCAACCCAGCCCCTGAGCCCAGGTAAGAGTTTGAGATCTGGAGGCCATTCCTCAGGGACCCTGAAGATCAGCTGCCAGGAAAGGTGAGGGGAAAATGCGCAGAAGTGGGCTGGGAAATGCACAAATAGAAATTCTGCTTTCAGTGTCCAACTCTACAGTTCCGCAGCAGCTCTGCTTCTGGGGTCTGCGGGATCCCAAAGGGGGGCTTCCTTTGATTTCTCTTCCCGGCTGCCTGGCATCCTGTCTCCTTCCAGCTGATTGTCAGTGACTTTGGCCTGAGCCACGAGCAGTCGAAGGTGCAGGCAGCGCTGTGGGCGATCCTGGCAGCCCCCTTCTTCATCTCCTGCAACCTGAGGAACATCTCAGAGGAGGCCAAAGACATGCTGCAGAATCCGCTCCTGATCTATATTAACCAGGACCTGAGGGGAGTTCAAGGCAGACTCCTGGCCAGGGTATGTGTGAAGGAAATCTCTTCACCAGAGCAGGGCTGTCTTGTGCTTGGGAAAAACGGTTCCCTTGCCCTGACACTTCTGCCACTGGGTGGCAGCCTTTCTCTGGGCGCAGGAGCTGTTGTGAGTCTTTGAGCAAATTGGGTGGGGGAAAAAACGTATCTGTGGCCTGAGCAAGGCTGGTCACCGCTCTGTGCCCCGGCTTGTCTCTCAAACAGAAGCAGAACTTTGAAGTATGGAAGAGGCCCCTGGTCAATGGCCAGTATGCGGTCGCAGTCCTGAACAACAGAACTGATGGGGCCCCACGGTCATTTGCCACAACCCCGAGCCTTCTGGGAATCTCAGGCTGCAGAGCAGGCTACAGGCTCTATGATGTGCTGGGCAAGCTGTCAATGGGCATTTACGCCCTCAATGACACCATCAGTGCCAAGGTGACGCCCACTGGAGTGCTGCTGCTCTTCCTGAACCCGCTGTGCTAATCCTTTCATTGCGGAGGGCGAGGGAGCCCAGGGTGCATTTCTGGAAAGGACTGGCTGCTTTCTCCTTGCAGTGAAGCTGAAGGTAAAGTGAGCCCCCCACTTCCTATCTGTCCTGCTGGTGCTGCTTCTCCCAAGAGGGGTCTCATGTCACAAAGTGCAAAGGATGGAGAGCTCACTGCAACTGCAGGCCTGCACCAAAGCTCATCTGTAGCCAATGCTCCTGGCTGGGACTCAGTGATTGTCACGAGGCAGGGACCAGCTTTGATGCTGGCTGCATCCCCTTCTCAATGAGGCTGGATCCAGAAGCTGCTCATCTTCCCTGGAATTAAATGGTTCTCGTTTCAGTTGCTCCAGTAATCCAGTATTTGTTGTCTTCCAAAAACCAGGAGAGGCAGAGGGGTGGGGTGGGGCAGTTCACCTGCTCTCCAACGTGTCTCATATGGTGGTGCACCCAGCATCTGCTGGGCCAAACGAGGGGAAGCAGAGGAACCAATTAAGTTTGCATGCAGGGGCGGGATTTGCAGGTTGCTGATGTTGCTCTGGTTCAGAAAGGAGGGGAGACGTCTCTGATTGGCCTGTTTTCCTTCACCCAGCCCGAAATCTCTTTTTCCCCCACAGAAATCTTCTCTGAAAGCCCACATTCAGCTTCCGCTTGGAGATTCGGAGGGAGTGGCCAGCAGAACCAGCAAAAGGGTCCAAAAGGCAGCCATGCTGTGCAAGGCGAGCGAAGCCAGAGCAGAGGCCTGAGAGGTGCCCGGCAAGCCCAGGCAGCGGTCAGTTTGGGCACCGGCCTAACCCCCCTCGAAAGGCTCTTGAATGTGATGATCTTCCTGGAGAGACTTTCCATGGCTGAGGGGCTACTGGGGGCTCCCCCGGCTCTTTTTCCCTCAGAGGGCTGCTAGAGCAAGCCCTTGGTCTGGGAAGAAGTGGCTGCTTTGAGGGAAGCCAAAATGGAGGAGCTTTGATGCACTTGATCTGGGTCACCTTAAGATCGTATCCAGATTGTAGTCATCTGTTCTGAATCCTGATAGGGTACATATGTATTATTTTTCAATATTTTGAGTTTTAGAATGTATCTCTTATTTATGTGGAGAAATGCCACAGTAATAAATAACCCTGAAGGTCTTCCTGCTCCAATGTCCATGTTTGTGGCTACCTCTTCAGTCTGCAGAAGCTGCCAATTTGGAGTCTCAATGCGCCATTTTGCAGTTACCCATCAAAATGTGGAAGATCAAGAGTAGCAACCCTGAGCATCAGTGAAAGACACATTGCCGCATGACTGATTTGAGCACCTTCTGAGAAGCGTCGCCGTTTCCATGCTCTGATTGTGCCTTATGGGAATTTGACATGTCCCGGAATCCTTTACAGCAAACTGGGTTTCCATAGGGAAGGAGGTCAACGTGAAAAACTACCTTTTGCATTCAGTATCAGAAGGATTAGTACATAATGTAGTCAGAGTACAATTAGCCTTTTGGTTAATGTCTTCTGGCTAAATGGCGAAAGTCCAAATGGTGTAGGAAATTATAGGTTGTCTTCTGATGAACCAACTGAGTTATTAATTCTGTGGTTATATTTAAATGAGACATCCAAAATCATTTTGGAAATGATGACTAATATATTAATGATAACCAAATATATAATTGCAAAATGTATCCGGTCTAAATGATTTGCTAATTGCACGTATGCATGTGACTGTTACAATGAAACTCGCACCAATTTTTGTAATCGTTAAACTGGAAGGTCTGTTGTTAGTGAGTGCACGGCTTCCTGTTCATCAGTGACACCAGTGGCAGCTCTCCCTCCCCCCTCCCCCCCCCAGCCTTCCAGAGGGCCATCAAGATGTGTTTTTCACCCAGGCACCCGGGCATCCCTAGGGGATGAAGGCGGCAGCAGGTTTGGGTTGTTTTACAATTTTATGGTTTGGGGGTTTTATTGTTGTTAGAGCTGTCCAGAGTTCTGTTTTTAAGATGATCAGACATGTGACTCTTTAAAATAAATTAAAATCAATGCACTCGTACATGATTTAGGGGAGGGGATTACAATATTACCAGGTGTGTCAGTAACTCCCAGCTGAGACCCAGAGGGCACACACTGAAAGAAGCCACCGTACATCCTGTTTCAGCTAGGACACATGTGGAAAGGGGTTTTACTGGATTGCAACTGGAGTGTTAGCCAGCAGGGTGATGCATCTCTCAACTTTCACTGTGCTGTTCAGATACTCCGGATTTTTGCAAGGTCCTTTAATCCCGGATGGCAACATCTTAGCAAGAAACAGCTATGAGGAATATCACCTCAGGCTCAGATTAACAGGAGCGGTCCTGGGACCAGGGCGTCTTTTGGGGCTTCTGCACAGGAAGAGGGATAATTCACACACAAAACTGCAAAGGACTCATTCAGCCTACAGCTGCCAGGATGGCTGTTTGCACTCATGCCAGTTCCTGCAGCTGCGAGAACACAATAGTATCTGGAACCTGCTGCTAAAGTGCCTTGTTGTGATGCCAGCTGGACAAATATTATAAAACAGATTCTTTTTACTGGGTCTCCTTTGGAGCCAGGGGAAATAGGGCAAGAGAGTAACCAGCCCCAGGGTTGTCTACAGAAAGGAGGTGGTGGTGAAAATCCTGGAACCATGTCTCGGCCAACTCTCCTTGCGTGCAGGCAGGAGACGCTGCACTGGCATCTTGTGCAAGTTGGTGTGTTTCCAGTGCAAGTCACCTGCCCACAGCTTCAATTAGCTGGATGTTCATGGTGCCACTTCTGGGAAATACAGGAGGAGAAAAAAAATATTGAGAAAGTTTCAGTGTGCCTGTTAGTGCTCAGGTTGTCTCCTGTAGCAATTTTGGTGGTGTGCCTGGAGCCTGATTTCCATTGCAAGGGGGGGGGGAGAGACACAGTGTCCCCCCCATGAAAGGGGTTGTCTTTCTTTGCAAAGAAGCCATGAGACAAAGAAGTGTCATCCACCATCAGGTTAAATAGCAAGTTAAAAGTCTGAGAGAGAACTTTAGCTGGCTTCAAGTAGGCCTCCTCCTAAGGAGCAGGAGAGCAGCCGGAAGAAGATCCTAGAGGGGCTGGGGGTGTGCCAAGGGCAGGCTGGAGGAAGGAAGATGTCCTGGGGGATGAGCCAGCCCCACATGATTGTCCAACGAGTCCATCCTGCTTTGGTGGTGCTAGTCAGACACGATGAAATGACCCAAAAGAAGGGGCTCAGGCTCAACTCCCCCTTTCTGAAGAGAGAAGCCGAGGTTGGGATTATTTATAAGCCCTGCCAGCAGGAAGGGTCCAGCTAATGGGCAGGGGACCTTTGGGGAGACCAGGTGCAGGAAGTCCAAGGTCATGTGGGACTGGGTGGAATTCATTTTGCAGCAGACACACCACTTTCTATCACTCAGAGAAAGCAGGAAGACGGCTGCCAGGCCCTCAGACTACTTGTGCTGCTGGGCGTCTTCCGCCGCAAACACCTTTGAAAGCCAGAGTGAATGACAAGAATGCCAGGGAGCGCTTGTGCCAGGAACACCCGCAATGCTTGCCACGTTATCTAGAACAAACAATCTTAATTAGAGACAAGGGCACCTGGTCAGGGAGAGACAGGGCCGGGAGAACGAACGGGTGGCCTTTTCTCCCCCATTTGCTGCACTCGGGTACCACCTTCGCCCAGGCTCAGGCCCAGCAGCTCAGAGGCCCAGCTGGAGTGCCGCTGGCTCCCTGGGCTCTCTCTGTCCTTGAGCTCTTTCATTTTGAGACGGGGGGGGGGGAGCTTTCCAAGGGAACCCAATCCTGCCTGCCCTTCGACTTCCACAGAAAGGTCCGGCCGGCCATTAGCTGAGCCCCACGGTGAGGCACGGGACCCCCAAGCCTGGGCAGGCTCCCCAGCACCGGAAGCCCGGGAAGCTGACGGGCGGGGGAGGGGAGTGGGGGGGCGAGCGCTCGCGGTGCCCTTCAGGTGGGGCTGGGGGCTGCCCCGCCCCCACAGACGGACCGCTGCGCGCTCCAGCTTGCCACGCTTGCCCCTCTCTCGCGCGCGGCGGGCCCCGCAGTTGCGAAGGGACGCCCGTCAACAGCCTCGCGGCGACGCCGGCGGGAGCCCCGGAGGGCCCTGAGCAGCCGCCGCTCCGCCCGGGCTGTGTGGCGCGTGTGGGGCGGGCGCGGCGGCCGCGTGGGCGGAGAAGGGGATGAAGACCGGCGAGAGGCGGCGGCAGAAGCGCAACGCTCGGCCGGACGGGGAGAAGCAGAGGCTTCCGCGGCGGCGCCTGGACGGGACGGACGGGCAGAGCGCGGGATCGGTCGTCTCCCCGGATTGTCGCTGATGGCCCCGCCGCTGCTGCCGCTGCTGCTGCTGCTGCTGGGGCTGGTGCGGAGCGGTGAGTTGGCGGCGAGCCCTCTTTCCCCGCGGGGTGCCCTCCCCGGCGGCGCTGCCGAGGGACCTTGGGCTTGTATGAACGCGTTCGTGGGATGAATCCAGAGTGTGGGTTAATTCGGTAACCAGGTTAAGGGGAGGGTTGGTGACAACGAATTAGTGTTCACTCCTGGCCATTGTCTGGACAGGTCCCTGAAGTTTTCTTGGCCACTTTTTTTGGAAATGGCTTGCCATTGTCTACTTCCTAGGGCCGAGAGGGAGGGACTGGCCCAAAGTCATCGAGCTGAACCCACGTCTCTGGCTTGATGGGGGGGGCGCATTTCCGGGCCGGCTTAAGGGGGTGACCTGCCCAAACGGAGTCCCGGAGAAAGGGACCTGCTGCTTTTCAAGGGGCATGTTGGGGGAATTGCCTCGGACTCCGCTCTGTGATGGGCAAGTGTCATTTGAGGTATTGGGGTTCCTATGGATTTGCAAGATTGGTGTCAGCCTGTGAGATAGACCAGACAGGAAACATGACCAGAGGAGCCATTTCTACTTTATCCTAATATAGATTGACAGAATCTTTTCTCCCAGCACCCCTGGCCCCCTTGCGGGCTGCACCTGGCCTTCCCACGGAGGTGGCTTCCCTTTTTGTGCTGTTTACCTGATGCCGTAAAGCGAAGAGGGAGATGGGAAAAGGCAGTTACAGCTTCCATACGCCCAGCGAGAAGGCTGATGGAAGAGGGCTCCTGTTAGTGCCCCAGGAAGCTGGGGGTGGGGAGCCTCCGACCTCCTGTTTGAACCCCGGCAACCCACCTTGAAAAAAGCCCTGGGCATCTCTTGGGACCTCTGCTGCTGCTGCTGCTGGACGTGGAGCTCCTTTGGGAGTCAGAGCTTTGGGTGGGTCCTGCTTTGGGGCACCTCCGTGAATGAGAGGCTGTCCTCATGTGTGCATCTTCTTCCCTTGCTTCTCAAGTGGATCGCTGGGGCCGCTAGGCAGCTTTATTGGAATTGCCCCCCCACCCCCTTTAACCAGGAGCAGAGTCAGCTGGGAATGGCAGCAGAGGACAGGCAAGACCCCCCCCCCCGCCCCAGAGCTGCCCTCCTGATGCTGCTTTCCTTCCTTCCCAATGGCAGGATGCCCTTTGGGCAAGACCCCTTCTCGGCCCCGCAGAGGAATCCTCCAGCTGGCCGGGATGATCCAGTGCACTACGGGGCGAACGCCCCTGGCCTATATTCGCTACGGATGTTACTGTGGCTGGGGAGGCCGTGGTTGGCCCAAGGACCAAGTTGACTGGTAAGTGCTCCCGTTGGCCTCTTGCCCATGGCCGGCGAGGGCTCCCACTGGGCGCCAAGCAGCCTCCCTCTGGTCTGCTTCTTAGGCTTGGAATCCTGAGGCAAAGGAACTGGGAAGATGGATTAAAAAGAGAAACTGCCAGGTGCTTTTGCTTTTAAGAGATCAGCAGTCTTTTTTTAAGAGTGCGCACAGTTGGAGGGATTCTGGGAAGTGGCTGAGTTCACGCCTGTAACTGAAAGTGCAAACGTGGAAGGCACATCATCCTGAGAAGGCTCAGGCGATACCAAGCCACCCTCCTTCCACCACATCCTGCCATCGCTATAAACCAAACTCAGAATAGAAGCTTCCCCAAAGAGTAATATTTAGCTGTAGTGTATTTTAAGCAGTTGGAAACGCATGTTCTTTCGCTTCCACTAGTTTGGCAGAATGAGACCTTTGCTTCAGTTGCGAAGGTCAAGTCCAGCCAGGAGTGATGGACCCATTTTGGCCAGGAAACATGTTTTCCTTTGTTCGTATTTTAGCCCACATCCTGGCTGATGTGGGCCAGCTGCCCAGCTTCGTTTTTAAAGGCAGGGGTAGAGGCCAGCTGGGCACTGGTTTCACATCAAATTAAGCTGCCACAGCACCGTGTAGAACTAGGGGCTTTGGATGGCCTCTGGGCGCTCCTCCTGCCAGCTGCCCTAATGGACCCCTGGGACTGGCCCTTGAATGGGATACCTCCAAATCCAGCTCAACTATAAATTATTCAGGATTATTGGGGGAAGCTAAAATGAAGTTGAAAGTGATAGCACTGGGGAATTGGGGAAACAGCCCTCCTGCGTTTCTGCACAGAAGCCGCTTCAGGTACGAGGATGCAACATGAGGAAAGAGCAGCTCCCTTGGCGGCTTGGAGCTCCAACTGTCCAAAAGAGCAATAATTAATTCTCCAAAAGTTGTCTTTACCACACACCATCTATCTACATTATAGATATAAAAATGATCACCCACCTGAGTAAGCACCATTGCCTATTGCAGGAAGCACAGCGTCCACTCCTGACCAGCAGGCTGAGAGGGGGTGGGTGAGGGGGCTCACCTGAGTTTGGCTCAGTGGGTCTCCTCTGGTTCTGACAGGTGCTGCTTTAAGCACGACTGTTGCTATACAAGAGCCGAGGAGGAGAGCTGCGCCCCGAAGATGCGGTGGTACCCCTGGGAGTGCCAGGACAGCAAAGCCAAGTGTGGTGAGTTGCTCGAGAGAAAAGCGGCAGAAGGACAGGCCGGAGCATCCACCCTTCCAGGTGCCCCATCCAGCCTACTTGGAAAGCTTCGTGTGGCAACTCATGTGGCTTCACTGCTTGTTGGTCTCTTTTCCTTTTGCAGACGACATCGAAGACAAGTGCCAAAAGATGGCTTGTGAGTGTGACCGCAGCGCAGCCAAGTGCCTGGCAAAAGCTCCCTACAACATGACCTATTTGTTCTGGCCAGACACCCAGTGTGGAGAGAAGGGGCCCACCTGCCCAGACGACTGACGCTCCCCTTGCGCAGCTTCTCTGCCTGTCCACCTTCCAATTCAGGCTACTCCCCCTCGGAGGGCCCAGCCTCGTCCTGCTGCACTGGGAGAGTCTGTGGGCAATGCTGGGATCTCACTTCCAGGATGTCACCCAGCGCAAGCCCAACTCCTTTGGGATGCAAAATTTTGAACTAGTGAGTAATGGCACGTGGGAATGAGACTGGGCAAAGAGAGGCAGCCAGGGATGGTCAGAGAAAAGGCAACTTAGCCCTCAGCAGGAAAGTGGGAGGAGCAAGAGGGTTAGAAGAGCCCCTCCCTAGTTTTGTGGTTGTAAAGGAGAAGGAGACAGGAGAGAAATTTTAGAACTTACAAGATTGGTGTCAGCCATGCGAGGTAGAAAAGAGAAGAAACACGACCAGATGGACTATTTCTACTTTATTGTAAAGCTACATTAACAGAATCTTGCAAGTCTGAAAGTCCAAATCTCTCCCCATCTCCTTTACAGCCCAAGAAGCTTGGGAGGGCTTTTCTGACCTTCTTCCCCCTCCCCTGGTCATTCCCACATTCCATTACTGTACAGAAAGAAAGAGCACCCAGGGCGGCAAGGGAGGGCATAGAAAAGAACTAGTTTAATGAACATAGCAAGGTTCAACTCCCGTCATCACAGCCTGGACACTGATGATCACCAGGCAGCCAGGAGACTAGCCATTGTTCGGTCCAGCCTACCTCACAATCTAAACAAGAAAGGGAAGGAGGGAATACTGGGTGAAAAAAACAAATATTGCTACTTTTAGAAAATATTATTTAATTTGTAAAAATGTTCTATGCAAATTTAAAGATCATGTTAATACAAATGCAGAGTCAAATTTCATTTATAGGGACATCACATTTAACATGATCGTCTTGGTTTCACCAGAGATTTAACACAAAGCAACACAGAGGAGATTTAGACACACAGAGAAACCCATTCACCTATTTACACGAAAGGTATCCTTTTCCAAAGAGTTTGCAACCCCTGCTTCAGTCGGCTCAAACTAAGAGTTTGGATTATGCAAACATTACATCTTCTCTGCCCCCGGGAAAAAGTGCCTCTTGCCCCTGAAAAGGAAGTGGGGCACGCAAAGAGCTGCAAAACTAGACGGTTCAGTTACCCATGGAGGAAGTATCAGCTGATTTAGAAGTGCAGAAGGACAGAGCTGATCCCTTAGCATCCTGCCCCAGACGGTGGAGGGTCCGGCCGTCCCAAGGCCAGGATCCTCTGCCTCACAGGACTTGGGTTTCCAGCCGACGGACTTCCTTCACTACAAGGTCAATATTAATGATCGGGTTGAAGTACAAAGCCCAGTAAAAGAGGCAATTGCAGGCAAACTGGGGAATAAATGGCCAGAAAATGGCCATTAGGAATCCCTGGGTTGACATTTTCCAGAAGTGGCTCCACATCCGGTAGGGAATTCTTCTGAAAAGAAGGAGGGGAAGAGAGAGAACAGGGTTAACATCTGGGCTTGGCAGCTTTTAGATTCACCCCATCGATATCCCGGGTCTTTTGCAGGCCCTGTTTGTCCTTGCAATACCGGCCAGGCCGGACGTATCGGGCTATCCTGAGATGGAAAGGAGGGTAGGGATGAGCTTGAAAGGAAACGAACGGCATGAATGCCGAGCCCGGGAGGGGGGACTTTTTGTGAAGGGCAGAGCCTAAAGATGGACTGTTTTCAAGTAGGTCCCTCTGAGCAGGCTTCCTCTGTGCTGGAGCAGGAAAAGCTAGGAAAGTCTTCCTTTGAGATGGACCAATGTAACTGTGGCCAATAATTTAAGTCTGTCATTAAGACACCCCCCCCCCGGCCAGGAGGGAGGCAAAGGACTCACTTCAGCTCCCGCCTTGACCAGAGTCGCCAGAAGGAGAGCAGCTCCAGCACAGAGAGCAGCATAGCATTCACAATGATGAAGCGGGAGGTCCAGTAATGGACCTCCAGCCAGTCCCAAGCGAACTCGGCAAGCAGCTGATAGGGCAGAAAAGCAAACTTCACCAGGAATTCCCGCCACTGTTTCCACACCGGGTCCTTGTGGTCCTGCAGAGACAGAAGACGAGCACCAGCTGCCTCACAGCCCTCTTGGGGGAGCCTCGGCAGCTCCAGAGCAACAGCTGGAGGCGCAGACACCCTTTGCTTCTTGCCAGGATCGAAAGCCAAACTGCCCGGGACCCCACACTTACATGCAGTTTTGCAATAACGTCTGCAAGCTCCTCGTCCTCCGGCACCGGGCAGATGGTGTGGATGAAGGGCAGGAAGGTGTTGCTGTAATCCGACAGGTACAAGTACAGCAGGGTGAGCCGAGGGGAGCTCTTCAAAGCGTAGAGCAGGAACAGCGATTTTCCGGGCTGCACCGCCTGCAAGGCCAGGGACATTTATGGACGAAATGGCCAGGGACTTTGCTCCGCCACTGGCCGGGCTCTCCCAGGCACGATGCTGCTTGCTAGGCCTGGGACGTGAGATGTGGGAGAAGACCCCCTCTAAGTCCCATCAGCCAGGAGGGTGAAGAGGCCAGGGCTGCTGGCCTTCGGTTTTGATCCTCTGGATCCGAACAGTCTGAACGGTCAAGAGAAACGACCAACGGCTCCACTTGACCCTGCAGCAGACACTCACTTTGTACTCCCAGAGGTTTTGTGGCGGCTTCACCCCCCGAATCTTCACCCACTCGAGTTCCATTGTGATGGCTTTTCTGTGGCTGCTGTTCTCCACCTGGTAAGGAGCCTGTCTGAGTTCTTCATCGGTCAGCGTCAGAAGCAGCCTGCAAGATGAACCATTCAGGCCAGAGAACCCGGTGCCCGGCTCTAGCACTGCAAAGCCCGAAAGTCTCCATCAGAGACTTTTAAGAAGTCACAGACATTTTCACCCAGAGCAAAATGAAACTCTAAAGGGAGCAGAAATCCTTGGCGAGGTAGCAGCCAATCGCCTATGACTCCCAAGCAGGCCATGAACATCAGCACGTTTGTCCCCATTTGCACATCCCCCGAGAATGACAGGCAAAGCTTTGTGTTCAAATCCTCCCATCCTCCCTCCGCCCAAACATTCTGACTCACCGTCCATTCACCCTCTCCTGCAGGAACCTCTCCTTGTAGAGGGACGTCCAAGGCCCCAGTTGCCCAAGCCAGTGGGCCACCTCCTCTGCCGTCCATTTGGCGACAGGCTTGTGGACCAACAGGCTGTCCTCTGACTCCCGGCTGCTCCAATGGTAGCCCAGCAAAACCACCTAAGAGACCAATGGAGAGCATCTGAGGCTGGGCTGGGGAGGGGCTCGGGGTGTTTAAAGCAACTACAATAAGCATCATGTTCAAAGTCTGATTTGACAAGCCATCCATGCCTGGTTGCAAGCAACTTTAAATTATACCTTAATGTCTGAGGAACACTGTTTTCAATAAGCCACATGTGGCCAGTTCTTTGGGATCAGGTGGCACAAGAGGCCAGCCAGCCACAGCCACTGCCCTTCAGCCTCGCTTCCTGAGCGCCAAAGAGAAAGTGGCAGCCACGTGCGGGGGACAGAAATTGGGCGGGCAGCCAAGCCCCCTCCCTGGTTTCCATGCAGGCAGTCAGAGAACCACACTGGAAGCTCAGCCTCCCTTGCAGAGCCTGCTCGGCTCCACTGCTCAAACGGTGCCCTGCAAGGCCTCCCCCCGCCCGTCGTGGCAGTGCTTGTGAAAAATGTCCTCGGGGAGCTGTACCGCCACGCAGGTCAACGCGGTCAGGACACCGGAAAAAAAGCCTCCTCCAGGCGGGTTCACCCTCCCGGCACTGGGGGCTGCCGTGGGCTGGTCGCTCCCATACTTCTGAAAGGCAGCCAGACTTTGCGTTGCCTCGTGGTTTTGCAGGATGTCGTCTTTGCGCTGCTCAATGGCAACCGGGAACAACTTTTCAACGGCATTCCTGGAAGGGAAAAAACTGCTTGAGCCGACTTTGGTTTCTGGAAAAGCCTTTTCTAATTTGCAGCGAGAGACACGTCCAGAGCATCCCGACTCAGGCCTGCCCAAATCCTTCAACAGGAATCACTTGCTGGTTCTCCTAGTAATCTTTGTTTGGCTCTGCCCACCTTGCAGTGGGTTGGGGAAGGAAGACCCGTCTGCCTTTGGAGGAAGCAATGCAACGTCAGGCTGGCTTCTTGCCAAGGCCGCACCCTGCTAAGAGCAGAGGCAACTAGGCCAAAGGACGGCATTCAGTCACTCCCTCCTGATGTGCCCCAAGGCGCAGTTGGGGAGGCACCAAGGCTCCTGGCTAGGGCAGAGAAACAAGCCCTAGGCCAACTTGCCTCCCCCCACCCGCTCGCCTCTGAATGTCTTGGAACCATTGCTTGGGTCTCAGCCTGGCAACTGGGGTGGGCGAAGCTGGCAGGCAATGTTCACCTGAGGAGGATGTTGACTTTTGGGAACCCTTCCCATTTTTCCCGGCACTCCGGACACTCGTTCTTCTTGGAAGACATCCACCATAACGCCAGACAGTGCCGGCAGAAGCTGTGCCCGCAGTTCAAGGTGGTGGGGTTGATGAGAATGTCGTAGCAGCAGTGGCAGGAGAACTCGCTGGCGGAGACCCGCCGGCTGATCCCTGGAGCATCCAGCCTGTCTGCTGGCGAAGGAAGGCTCTCCTCCTCCATGTCTGTGGCTGACAAGAGACGACAGTGGCCTCACATTCTCCAGCCCTCAGGGCAACTGGAAGATGGCAAAAGAGGCCCCTTTAGTTTCTACACACCTCAGAGACAGGAATTGTTTGTCTCATGGAGAAGTTCTTAGCAGCTCCTGAAATGCTTCCTAGATTATAATTGCTCCAGTTAATAAGGACCATCATTTGTGGAATTTAGATTCATTTTATATTTTTACTATTACCAGTTTTGCCTTCCTTCTGGGTAGAAATGGAAAAAGATCAATTAACTATGCAACATGAGCATTAGTCTCCATAGTACTGTGTCTTATGCACACCAAGATTTTTAAGTGGGTCAAAAAGGTGGTTTGATTTAAAGCAACAAGATAAAAAAAAACAAAGTAAAGATATTGCTGAATACTCTGGGCATGTAAAGGAACGGTAGAATTGCTTTGTAATAAATCCCCAATTCTGACCATCATTAAACACCTGGCTGTTTTTCTTACTGAAGTGCAAACATCCTATATCCTAAAAGAACACACCTCTGTGTTGCTACTTCAGTGCAAATCAGCCTCTGAAAGTAGCTCCTCTCTATCTGCAATCAGTTATTTATCCTCACCTTAGCAAAGCAGACTATTGAGAACAGAATTCCTTGTGAACTGAGAAGCTGACCTCAAAGAGAAGCTGGGTTTGACTCTTTTTTCTACAAAGCAGAATTAAAGCATTGCTTGAAGGCCTTTCGGAGCTCCTTTCTTATCCTCCCAGGCTCACCCGAAACAGGAGAGAATATTCGAATTCTGCAGCATTTCAGGAGGGAAGTGGGAAAGAACTGCTCTTGTTTGTTGTCGAGGCAGAGAGAAAATTCTATTTTGTTCGCTGGAGCATTCTAACACACACACACACACAAGCACGGAGGGCTTTGCCGGAGCGGCCGTGGAGGAAGCACGCAGGCACTCCGGGGCTTCATCCAACAGGACATAAAGCGTTTTTTACTTACTCTCCAGCGGGAACAAGAGCAACCATCTAGGTATTCATTGAAGGAGTCTCGGGCAAGCGCAGCCCCCCGCTTCAGAGGCAGTCTACCCCTCCCCCACTTGCAGCCCCCTCCGCCCGGGACGATGGCCACTCGGACCCCCGGTCGGCCCCAGGGCAGCTACTCCTGCCCGCAGGGCGGGAAAGCCCTTCCGCACCGCAGGACCCTCCTGGGAGGCGGCCCGGGGCGATCAGGGCTGCTGGGCGTCCGGCGTTGCGGGGGGAGGTCCGGAGGAGCCTCCGGAGGCAGGGGCAGTCTACCTGGGGATGCCAGCGGCGGGGGAGGGAGGGGCGCAGCGACGCAAAGCCACGGGACCGAGGCAAATTGGCGTCGAGAACCGAGAACGGCCGCTGCCCCACCACCAGCCGCCGCCAGGAGGGCGACAAGACACCGGAGCGCCGCTCACTCACCGGGGGGCCGCGGAGCCCCTCAGACAGCCACTTCCTGCCGCGCATGCGTGCCACCCGTGCCTTCTCACGCCTGAACCGGCAGCGCGCCTGCGCGAGAGGGGGCGCTCTGCCGAACGCGGACCTGCCACAGTGCCCCCTGCCGTTCATTCCCGGGCAGCGGGGCGGGGGGGAGGCGAGGAAGAGCTGCTAACAGCCCTGCGAGGTAGTCCAGGCTCAGAAGGGCCGCAGCTGCCCCCCAGGGTGGTCTTTCGTGGCGGCGTCTGGCGCTTGAGCCACGGAGGGGAGTCTTTTCGCCGCTTTCCTCCCTGCGGACAGCTGCCTCCTGCGGCCCCGGGGTCTTTCCTGAGATGGGGTGTCCCCCGTCCCGTCCGACCTGACTCGTTCCGCCTGTCTCCTGCCCGCCCCCAACAGCCCTCGGCGCGACGCAGCATCGCGTGGCCTCCCGTCCTGTCCCCGCGGGCTGGGATCGCGCTCCCTCTGCCCCTCCCTCCCCCCTCCCTCCCGCGGCGCAGCTAAAGGGGGCTCCGGGGTCCCAGCGGGCCTGGTCTATTCCGGGCACGGCCAGGCGCTCGTGCCAGCCAGGCTCGTCTCTCTGGGATCCGCAGCGGCTTCGGGATGCGGGCGGCGGCGGGGAGGTTCGTGCCCGTGGCCCTGGTCCTGGCGGCCGCCTGTCTGCGGGGCGCCCTGCTGCAGACCCCGGGGGCAGCTGAGCCGCGGCGACCCCTCTTCGAGAAGCTCCGGCGCCTGGAAGCCCAGGTGAGCCGTTCTGCTCCCTCCTTCCCTTCCCTGTCCGCGGTCAGAGCGGGCGCCGGTCCTTTTCCCGCCCCGACGGGAGTCCACGGGGAAGCCTCCCGCGTATATTCCGCTTCTGACCCCAGAAGCGCAGACGGTCCGGGCAGCCGAATCCCCTTTCCCCCCGGGGGAGGACGCGGTGCCCGGTCTCCACTGCTGGCCTCCTCTTTAGTCAGACTTTCTGCTTGGCTTTGATCTCCTGAAACGCGACGGCGAAGGAGGTTCCTGCTCTCCCCTTCGAAGTTCCTCTTTGTGTGTTGAGGGTCACTTTTTCCAGGGGGCGTTTTCAACGAGTTCACTATACAAAAGGCCAGCAAAATCGGGCCAGAATGATGGACTCGGGAGCAGGAAAAGGCAGCGTGTTGAACTCGGTTGCCAGCTTTGACCCGAGCTTATTATATGGTACTTATTCTGCTATCCGAGCTCTCCTTTTCTTAACCAGCAACAAATAAGCGAGCCAAGCACATTGAGTCCCTTAAGTCCCTTCTGTTCTTGAGCCCCAACAACCACCAGCTTGAGGGGAGGGGACTGTTTCCAGCCAGATCCAACTGGATAGAAAAGGGGGGTCCCCAGAGGAAAAAGGGAGCCTGGCGATGTCTGCCTGACAACCAGCTATAATCGGCAAGAATAAATAAAGTGATGGAACCATTTCAGGACAAATAAAGGAGGAACTGAAGCTCAGAAAAGCTCCCAATTTTACAGGTCCCAACAGGCAATAATGGGGGGGGGGGAGTTGCCAATCCTCCTTCTTATTACAGTTCCCTTGGGTTCCCACAGCCTGGGAGACTGCTGGGGGATGCTCAAAACTCACACCCCATTGTGGCTCCAGCTCCCTTCCTCCCTTGCTCAGACCCAGGTCATGTTTCGCTGCAAAAGTTAGTGACAACAGCTGGTGGTGTGATATATAAGCGTTTCAGGTTTTGCCAGAGGCCATTTTAGGCTAAGATTAGCCACAGATATTGGCCCAGCAAAATATATTTCTGCATTTTTGGATGGATTTAAAGAAGGCTATTTTGTGAAAGTCTTTCCTGGGTCTGGGCTTTCTTGCCAGCCTGGGCCTCCACTCTTGTACTGCAAATCTCATCAAGTACAGCCATTGTGTCCACTCCCCGTGATAGTTGGGAGTAAGAGGAATGGTGGTCCACATTTAGAAGAGCTGGCTGAGGGAGAGTAGCCAGGGCACATGAACGAATGCAGATTGCCACAAATTGCCCGACGATTTCAGGAGAAGACAAGAAAACAATCTCGGGATATCTCAAAACTTCAAAACAATGAAATATTTGCCACCCGAAAGAGCAAAATTAACACATTGAACGTTACACTCACCAACCATTTTCAGTTAGTGCTATAAATAATTGTACTTGTTATTGTAAAAATACAACTTCCTAAATATAGTTGAGATTACTCAGTAGCTCCAATGAAGCTGGTGGAAAAATATAATGATGTATTTTGGTCCAAATATCTGGCCGCTGGCCGGTGTCCTCATGCAAGGACATGTCTAAAGGCTTCGTAGAAACTTTCTATATTAGTTCAACACCATCGGTAGGTATTGGAAGGGAACACTCCCCCATTTTGTTCTTGTTTTGGGACCCTGACTTGGTCCTTTTCTTTTGCTCTCAGAGGGCATCTTGCGCAATGCTTGAAGCCATAGTCTTAGTTCCACTTCTGGACACCTTCAGAAATGCACATTTCTAATGCTGTGGGGTGCCGTAGAGTGAGGCTGCAAGGACAGGCAGGAAACGGGCCTTCAGTCCTGGGCTTTTGCCCCCTTCCTCTCTGGCTTCCCCACCAAATGAAGGGCCCCGAGGCTCTTGGTGCTATCATGCCTGCGCCTGTCCTAGGAAGGAACGGATCCCACTTTTCTTGCCCCCGCCCGTTTCCCGATGCTGTTGTCCTGGGCCTCCCCTCTGCCCTGGGCTTTGAGGGGCCTGACTGGACTCCTGTTCCCCAGTTCCGAGGGTTCCAGGAGGTCACCCTGATGCGCCTTCAGGAGATGGCAGAGAACTACAACCTGTCTCACAGTCTGCACACCAAGATGGAGCAGCTGCTGCAGAAGCAGGAGAGCCTGGAGCTGGTGGCCAACGGGTCCCGGGCCGCCAGCCAGGAGGAGCTGCATCGCTTACAGGCTTGGGTAGAGAAGCTGGGAAGGAGTGGCAAGAAGCAAGCGCTGAGGATCCGAGCCCTGGAAGAGGCCTGGCAGGAGACGCTGCAACAGCAGCCGAGGCGGCAGCAGGAGAGCCGCCTGTCCAACCTCACCCAGGAGTTCAAGAGCCACCGGCAGGACTTCCAGCACGTGGCTGTCCAGCAGCGGAGTCTGCAGAAGGCCCTGGAGAGCCTGCAGGATGCCCTCCGGAGCCAGGAAAGCAAGCTGGGCAACATCAAGCGAAGGCTGAAGAGTCTTAAGCAGAAGGAGGCGCTGTCCACTCCTTGGACTGCAGCCCGTCGCCTCGGTACAGAGAAAGCACCAGAGGCGGCTGGAGGGCAGAGCCCCACCTTGAAGAAGCTGGGTGCCAGGCATCGCCAGCAGGGGGGCGACCTGGAGGCCCTGGCCAAGAGCCAAGTGGCACTGCAGAGGAGCTCCCTTCTGAGCCAGGAGGCTTCCCCGCTTCAGGTGGATCTGGGTCCGGCCTCTTCACCTGAGCAGCAGATCCTGGAACAACTGCCCCATGGCCCAGCCAAAGCCCCTGCAGAGGAGAAGCCTCCAGGAAGGCCTCGGAAACCAGGAACAAGTAGGTATAGATAATGCATGAATGCTGCGAGGCACCTTAAACTTTGATGCAGTGGCCTTTCTCGGCCTTAAAATGCGCTGGAGGCTTATCTGGCCAAAGGCCACCCTTCAGCCCTCTGCCTCAGGTGGCCAAGTTGTTTCCACAGGTGGAACTTTCCTTTTGGGGAGACACTTGTGCGGACTTAGAAGCTGTTGCTGCTTCTGCCTGCTTCTAACTTGGAGGTGCTTTGGCATTGTACTTTGCTTTTTGTATTTTATTTGCTGTAGGCATTTTAAATATTGTCTAGGCCCCGAGTGACATGCACGCTTTAGATTGAACATCTTCAATGTAACTGTCACCACCTGAAGTAAAATTCCGAACTGGAGCCCCAAGCTGTGGTGACCCAGAGCTGCAATCGGCTGTGTCGCCCCATTGCTTTTTCTTCCCTGCAGGGTGCAACGTGGATGCCATGCTGGTCTTCCCCAACGCTTCCATCGAGAACTTCGTAGCCTTCCAGCCCGGCCTACAGACCAGCTTGCTGGAACTGAGCCTCTGCAGCTGGGTGAGGACCAGCGCCCGTTACCTGGGCACCATCCTGTCGTATGCCACAGAGGAGAACGACAACAAGCTGGTGCTCCATGGCAGGGACGCTGCCCCCCGAAACTCCATCCATTTTGTGATTGGCGACCCCGCTTTCCGGGAACTGCCAGTGGGGGCCGTCTTGGACGGCAGGTGGCACCACATCTGCGTCATCTGGTCCTCCCTCCAGGGGCGCTACTGGTTCTACCTGGACCGTCGGCTGGCCTCCCTGGGCTCCAACTTCCAGAAGGGCTATGAGATTCCGCCCCAAGGGTCGCTGCTCCTTGGCCAGGAGCAAGACACGCTTGGTGGAGGGTTCGAATCCTCTGAATCATTTGTGGGGTTCCTGGCGGGCTTTGCCATGTGGGGCCGAGTGCTGCTGCCTGGGGAGGTCTCTAGCATTGCCCTCGGAGAAGACTTGCCCCCTGGGACGGTGCTCACCTTGGCCAACGTCTCCATGCTCAGCGGTTCTGTGCAGAAGGTAGACTGCCCCTGCCTTGAGCACTGCCTGTGAACTCCCCCCCCCCGGGAGCCTCGGAGGCTGCCCACCATCCCTGCCCTCACCGCAGAATGAGCTCAGTTGGATTTTCTCCAGAGAAGGGACCCTGCCAAAGGGAACGGGCAGTGGTGGGATTCAAATATGTGAACAACCGGTTCTCTGTGTGGAAGCTGCTTCCGGAAGTCCATTCTGGGCCTGGGCAACAAAAAATTAGCTACCAGTTCTGCCAAAGTGGTGCGAACTGTCTGAATCCCACCACTGGGCCGGAGTCAACCTGAAGGCAGCAGCTGAGACCCCAAAGTTGCTCTAGGCCTCCCTTAGAAGAAGCCATTCAAGCCCCAAAGCAGGACTGGCGCATCTGTACAGTATTTCCTAGGATGGTCTTCGTCCCACCTGTTTCGGTTGGGGGAGCTTCCCCTGCTCTCCCTCACCTCAGCCCCTTTGACTCCGGACTCCAAGACTGACTGGCCACCAGTAGTTCATACCACCCAAGTGAGGGACGGGTGGTGGGCCTGGGGCAGGATAGCTGGCACTCTGGCTCAAGTCACCCAGCCAGTCTCCCCTGCTCAAACAGCAGCATCAGGCGCCAGGTTACACCAACTGCACAACTGCAGAAATAAGGAAAAATAGGCTCACGCATTGCCGATTTCCAGGATATTTGTGCAAGGGACGGGAACTGTTCATCACTCATCTGTCTGGTGTTCCAATTTCTTCCTTCTGGCCTGGAGGCGGGGGTAGGAGATTGGACAAAAAACTTTCCTCGTCTGCAATTTTCATAATTTTTTTTATAAAAAAAAGATGGTGGGCATTGTTGATAAAGTACACTAGTTTCTCCCAAGATGAGGATTTCTTCTTACATTTCTGGCACCAATTGTGATTCCCTGCGTTGCTTAGCTTGTGTACTAGAGAGAACCAATTAATTTCATGGTTGAAAACTAGGGTTTTGACTTGGAGCAATAAATATTTATTCAAGACCCAGGACATCCCACTTTTTCCATCAAATAAGTAAAAAGTATTCAGTGTGACGGAGCTTAAAAATTTGACTTTCCCTATTTTTTTTAATAAAAGACCAGACAATGCTCCAGAACTGGGACCAGCCCTGCCAGCGCTCCGTCTGAGGGCGCTGCAGCTGGGGAGCCCGCGGGAGAAGAAGGAGGGCCAGCTTTGGAAGCTGCCCCGCCAGGGAGCTGCCGGCTGCTGGACCCTCCACCGGGTCTTTCCAAAATGCTCATTCCTCGCAACGCCTCATCTTGTCGCCACATCAAAAAACACCCTCGGGAAAGGGGCATCGCTGTCCTCCCCGCCCTTCAGAAGGGCGCCGGGCGGGCGAGCGAGCGAGCAGAGGGAACCCGGGCGACCGCCACCCCTCCCTGGCAAACCCGGTGGGGAAGGAGAGGTGGCTCCTCCCGGCCCGGAAAACCCCGGTCCCCGAGTCAGCCCGCCGCCTGTGCGCCCTCCCCGCCTGGCTCGGGCTCCCCGGCAAGGACGCTGCGCCCTCAGCTGCAAGCGCAGAGGCGCGCAGTCCCGGGTGGCGGCCCGGCCGGGCGCTGGCTGACAAGCGGCGGCGGGTCCAGCGAGGAACGAGCATCCCGACGCAGAGGGGCGCGAGGCAGGGCAAGGCGGATGCCGGTGACTCCATCCCCCGTGATGCTCCGGGGCAGGCGAGGCGGGCGGATCACGTGTCTCGCCAGCTGCGGCAAGTCACCTGATCGCCGCTCGCTTGCTCTCGAGTCGGCCGGCCTGCGGAGCGGCGATGGCGAACGTAGCGACCCGGGTGTCGTGGTCTGGCCGGGAGGGAGAGGCCGAGGGCCGGGGCGAGACCACGCCGCTGCTGAACGGCACGAGCGGGCAGGTGAGGCTGGCGGAGCCTCCGTGGCCAGGAGAAGTCTATCGCTGGGCGGGGCGAAGCCCATGGCGCGGCCAGCTGGGCTCCTGGTCCGGGGACAGGCGGGGCTGGGGGATTTGAGCCTTCAGGAGCGTTTCGTAAGATTTCTGAGCATGTGTAGAATGCCTTTCCCACCCCTACAGGGAATGGCGCACGCCTGTGCTTCCAAGCAACCTTGGCCCGGGGTCCCTGAGGCTCAGCAAAGACTAGCCTCTTGCCCATAGCTAAAGGGACAGCCGTCCTCCAAGCCCTGCCGTCCAAAGCTGGTGGCCGGGACATTCTTGGCCAGGAGAGGGAAAGCGGCCTGGAAGTTGAAGATGGGAGAAAGGCGCCAAACAGCCTCTGGGATTGAGGGCCTGGGAGAGGCTGCCAAGGTGATGCCCGTTGGCGATCCAGTGGCGCTCCTGGAATCCCTCCCATGCCTGTTTCCTGTGCCCAGTCAGGCAACGCTTGGGGCACTGGGATCCTGGCCATTCCTGGGGAGCCTTTGTATCATTCTCTGTACTCTCTGGGATGAGGGGTTTGTTTCTGGAGGGGCCCCAAGTGGCACAGACAATCCTTTGCCCATCAGTTTGGTGGCAATCTGTGGGCAGTTTCTGAAAGCTGGCTAGCTCTGGCTCTTTTTCAGCATGTTGACACTACCAACATACAGCAGTTTCACGAAACAGTCTCTCTATTGCCTAAAATATTGCTCTAAATTGAAATATTTCAATCTGCCTGTCCTGCATCCTTCGGTCATAGCCAAAGCAGGCCAGTTATCGGAAACTGCCCACGGATTGCCACAAAGCTGACAGGCAAAGGTTGTTTGTGCCAGCCACCATTTGGGGCCCCTCCAGAAACAAATCCCTCATTCAGAGAGTGGCACAAATGCTCCCCGGGAATGGCTGAGATGCCAATGCCCCAAGCACTGTCCGACTGGGCACAGACAACAGGTCTGCAGCGGCTTTGTGAATCTGTTTCCCATGACTTTTCTGCTCTTCCTTCCTCTTCCCCCCACCCCCACCATCTTTCTCCCAGTGTAGCAGAACGAGGCTTTTCATTCCCTGCTGGAATGTCACACGCTCAGGGCTGAAAAGGGAAATGTAATAATTGTTCGTGCAGCCCACATGCTGTTGATAAAACAGCCCTGCTGCCTGCGGAGCTGTTGGGCTTCCCAGGGATAAAGCGTGTTTGCCCTGGATCCTTTCAGCCCCGAAAGGAGCTGGGCAGCTCAAGCAAGACAGATGTGTTTTGCCTCTGCAGCTGAGCCCTTCTTCATCTTCCTTGCGATTTGGGCGCCTGAGCAATGTGGATCTTGGGGATCACGAGAGCACGGTGAGCAAGACATCTGGTGGGAGGGGGGGCAGTAGAATGTGGCTAAATCCAGAGTCTTGATTGATTTGAATTCTGAGTCCTTGCAGGAAACAGAGGCCCCTCGGTCCCTCCCCAGCGAGATTCCACACAACGACAAGCTTCTCTCCCTCAAGTACGAAGTGAGTGCCTCTGTTCTTCCTGGGAAGGGCCTGGGGTGGGGTTGCGGTCACCCTGGAAAGGGAGCCCTTCTTCCAGTGAGCCGGAGGCAAAGCTGGTGCTTTGTAACTGGGCTGGGGGTGTCCACTTCTCCTGAAGGGGTTCTCCATCTTTTGGCCCCCTGCAGAGCTTGGACTATGACAACTGTGAGAACCAGCTCTTCTTGGAAGAGGAGAAGAGAATTAACCACACGGTGAGCCTGCCTCTCCTGGGGCAAACCATCGGCTACGTTCCTTGGATCTGCACTTCTGAAGAACCTCAAGGGGAAACCAGTGGAAACTCTCCCTGCTGCAGCCACAGCTCCGGGATCCTCTCTCCCTTCTTTTGGGGGTGGGGGCGATTCTCCCTGGCTTCCTAATGTCGTTCTCAGCTGCTCCTGCGGCCGAGACTGGAAAGGGACTTCTGGCAGCCAAATTTAGCTTTGGATTCTGGGTCCCCAGTCCTAATCAGCTCTGCCAGGAATGAGGGAGGGTGCAGAGGGCTGAGCTAAGCCTTGAAAGTGGGGGAGGGGGAGGCCCACCCACATAGAACAAGGAGGGAGACCTTGGTTTGCCCACATCAATGGCTTTCAGGTAAAGGTAATGTCAGAGCTAGAACCTTGCTTTGTCAGTGGCCATGCTGCCTTCTGGACCACTGTGCAGCAAACATCAAAGCCTGTCTGAGAAGGGGGGGATTGGACTCTGATCACCGTCCCCCCCAACTATACAGGCATTCCGGACAGTGGAAATTCAGCGCTGGTTCATCTGTGCCATGATCGGCATCCTGACCGGGCTGGTTGCCTGCTTCATCGACATCATGGTGGAGACCTTAGCTGGACTCAAGTACAAACTGGTGAAGGGCAGTATCCTTGAGGGGTGCAATGGGGCAGGTGGGGGGTTCTAGCTGCAGGGGAATTCCTCCTCTTCCAAGACGTTTTCCTTCTCCTCCCCTCCACGCCTCCTCCCAGGTCTATAAACATGGATTCCAAACTAAAAAAACCTGAACCCAATCGGCATCTGTCTGTTTTTCCTTTAAGCTTATTTTTGCCCAGATATTGACAAATTCACCGAGACGGGACGTCTCTCCTTCTCTCTGCTTCTCTGGGCCACTGTGAACGCAGGCTGTGTGATGGCCGGTTCCATCCTTGTTGCATTTCTGGAGGTGAGGCCTCGATCGGCTGGCACACACCCTCCGTGGTGGCAGCTGGGCCGCCGTGACCGAATGCTTTGTCTCTGCAGCCCGTGGCCGCCGGCAGCGGAATTCCACAGATCAAGTGCTACCTGAATGGAGTCAAGATCCCCCACGTGGTTCGGCTGAAGGTCAGGAGCGTAGGGTTTGGTTGTGTTGTGGTTCTCCGCAAGAACACACACCGACCGACTTCGCTTTGATGAGGAAGAGTTGTCATGTGGTGTTCCAAGCTGGGGGCTTTGGCAGCCAAGCAGCAGCGAGTCTGGGAGGACTGTCCCTTTTGGGGTGCAGAAATGCTTCTGGCAAGGGTTGGGTTGGGGTCTTGTGGAGTCTGGCACCTGCTCAGCCCTGTGGCTGCCTAGCTTGGAAGGGAGAGCAGAGCTGCCCTGACCCGTGGCATCCTGTGTGCTCCCCTTGCAGACCCTGATGGTTAAAGTTTGTGGCGTGATCCTCTCCGTGGTTGGAGGCCTGGCAGTGGGGAAGGTAAAGGAGGAGGGCAGGAGCTGCCCTATTGATTTGATGCAAGGGGGTGCTGGGAAACAGTCCTCCTGCCGTCCCCCCCCCCCCCGCACCCCCAACAACCCTGGTTCAGCTGTGGCACTGAATGAACTGATGCCTGCCTTTGGTGCAGTCAGCCCCACAAGGGAAGGGGGAAACGGCTAAGAGGAGCGTGATGGATGCCAGGCTGCTGGTTTGGGTGGAGCAGTAAGTGAGGATGGGTATTCCCAACTGGAGAGAGCCTTCCTCTGCCCAGGCTCCGTCTTCCAGGGTTCCCCCTCTTGTCCAAAAGCCTCTTTGACCCTTTGTGTTCCACTCCCAGGAAGGGCCGATGATCCACTCGGGGGCTGTCATTGCAGCTGGCATTTCTCAAGGGCGCTCGACTTCCTTGAAGAGGGACTTCAGGGTCAGTAGCTTCGCTCCCCAAGATCTGGGTGCGGTGTGGGAGCTGCAAGGTCTGGGCTGAAGACGCCGGCCTTCAGGGGGGCTGCCCGGGAGCTTCATTGGGCAGGAGAGGCCAGGTGTGTCCTACCTGCACACAAACTCCTCGCTTTGTCGACCCGCAGATCTTTGAGTATTTCCGGAGGGACACGGAGAAGCGGGATTTTGTCTCGGCCGGAGCTGCCGCCGGTGTCTCAGCTGCCTTTGGGGCCCCTGGTGGTAAAGCCTTTCCTTCTCCCTCCCTAAGCCTCTCTTTGGCAAAGACGGGGCCCCTCTCCGGATGCCTAGGAAGAGCTGGGCAGAGTGAGGGCCACAGGAGCCTTGCCCTGGGGAATGGGTGCCTGCTCACCTGTGCCCCCTCCCCTCCGTGACAGGTGGGGTCCTCTTCAGCTTGGAAGAAGGCGCTTCCTTCTGGAACCAGTTCCTGACCTGGCGGATTGTAAGTGCCGAGGGGAGGGGGCTGCGCCCAGGGGC